GACAGACAGACAGACAGACAGACAGACAGACAGACAGACAGACAGACAGACAGACAGACAGACAGACAGACAGACAGACAGACAGACAGAAAGGAAACTGAGAGGCGAAGGGATGAGGATGTTGAAAGACAGATTGACCTTTTATTATTTTTTAAAATTTGTCAGTGGTTTCAGTGATGTCTTCGTTGTATTTTGCTATGTTCTAATTCTGCCTTTGCTGCGCAATAGTAATCGAGATTTATTCACAGCAAGCCAGAATCCAACCTACACCAAACATTCAACATTTACAAATTGCAATGTTAATTGTCTGTTGTATGATAATGCGAAGGCATGCCCGTTATTTAAATGGCAACAATCTCCATAGGTCTGATCGAGCCTACTCATCAGAGAGACTTTTGTCTTGCTTCATGAATATAATCTGGATATTCATTAAGACTTATCACATTCCATACTTAAAAGACAGAATGAGGCTGCCTCAGAATTAGAAAGTTCCATTTGCAAAGTGCCTTGGCTAGTATTTACACATTTAACGTCATTTTTTTAAAGTTTCACAACATGTCAGGCTTTTTCGAATGCAATACTTTAAATATCTTGATAACGACTCCGAATAATCTTATGACTTTGACAGAACAGAGAGAACACTTGTTGTTGTTTTTTTACCTCAAGGTTTTAGTAACTCAAAACAGCCCCAAAATGCCAAATAGGACTTTGCAAATTCTGAGGTAGCGATTACACACTGACATGTCACAACATTCACCAAGATGCACCCCGGTAGTAAACTCTACAATAAACCAACCGTCTTTGATTTTGGAAGATGTAACACAATCTTTATGTCAGACTGACTGGCTTTGCTTAGTCGTCAATACATTTTTTACCGCTCTCAAAGCTGTCAAACAATAATTAATCCTATCAGATTGAAGATTTGGTTAAACTTTCTGTAGTGTTCCCTGGTTTGTTACGTAATACGCACAGTTTGTGGTTGCGATGTTTGTAATGGGAAGATGTTTTATTTAGTATCCTTTTCTATTTTCTGAGATGTTATAGTTTTCAGCCTACAGGATTAGCCCACCAACTAAACAATATAATTTTGTCTACGGAATGTCAACGCTCTTTACAATGAAAACTGTAAATAGGTATATAATTCCTTTCATGTCCCTCACTTTCTCCTCAAAGAGTGCCAAGACAAGGATCGAACGTGCCAATCACATGGCGACGTTTGTGAACTGTTAATTTCTGTCGCGCTCAAAGAGGATAAACAATAATTTATATCAAATTCAAGATTTGGCTAAACTTTAAGCACAGTTTGTGATTGCGATGTTTGTAGGGGGAAGATGTTTTATCGAGCATCCCCATCTATTATCAGGTATGTTATAGTCCTCAGCCTGCAAGAATGATTTTATTCCTAAATTATTTTGATTTTGTCTACTGAAGGGCAAACGTCTTTACAATGAAAACTGTAAATAGGTACTTAATACCTTTTATGTCTCTCATTTTCTCCCTAAAGAGTGCCAAGACAAGGATGGAACATGCCAATCACCTGGCGAAGTCTTCTCTAAGGTTGTTGACTCCAAGACCTACACCAAATGTACGTGCAAGGTGGAGCTTGACCACTCCTTCTACCATTGTACTTCCGCCAACGGAGAAAATGGTGAGTGACATATATATATATATATATGTATATATATATATATATTATATACATATATATATATATATATATATATATATATATAATATTCATATTAATATATTATTATTGTTAAAAGATCTATTTGAATAGGTAAAACGGACGGAACAAAAACATTGTTTTGTTTTTTGTAGAGAAAGAATTTATTTTTGACTTTCGGAGAATCCAAATTCAATTGCTGGATATGTCTATAGATATGCAGTTTCCTTGTTGTTCTTCTTCTGGTTGAGGTGCTGTTAGTTTTTTCTTTTTGTTCATGGGAAAGGGGGAGGGGGGAGGTGGTTCGTGGAAGTGTTGTACAAGTGCATGATATATAGCTGATTTGAACTTTCATATTGCAGCTGATACTTTCACGCAAAATAGTGGCACCTTCTGTTTCTTTCTTCTCTGTGATGTCTTAGGTCATTTCTGATATTTCTGGAAATACTCCACATTTTTCTCCCATAGCTTGTTACTAGGAGAAGGCAGTGGTTAAAAACTAGATATAGTCGTTTGTTTTAGCACTATCGGTAAATTGTGCTCTGTAAAAATGTTCCAATTTGTCCCAGTGATAACAAACATTGCTTGTAAACTCCGCGCTGACAGAGCCCAGAGACTGCGTGGTCGACGGTAACACACACAAGGACGGAGCAGTCTTCACACTGAACGGACAGTCGCCTTGTCTCAAGTTCAGGTGTAGCGACGGTGATGTGGACATAGATGAAGAAGGTGAGATGATTCTTGCTTATTTATCAGTTAAAGACAATTTCTAAAATTGATTCTGATTAGTTTTATACAGGTATCGTCGATCAGTGGTTCAGATGTACAACTCCAACTTTAAAAAAAAATCCCAGTATTTTAATCTATGGTATATGTTGCATATGATAAGATAACGTACGTCTTTATTGTCCAGATCCTGGCACATTGATTTGGTGTTTCATCACGTGTACACACACACACACACACACACACACACACACACACACACACACACACACACGCACACACACATACACGCATGCACAAATAAATCTTAGTTGAAATTCAAATTTTTAATGTTGGATATAGCTAGAATAAATACATAACCTTTGTACAACTATTTAAAGGAAAACGGGTTTATTTTCGTCTCTCTCCTGAAAATAATTGCATAGTACACAATGCACCAACAATATAATTCAGTGTGCGAGGATCTGGGCAATAAAGATGTATCTTATCTTATCTGATCTTATCTTATCTTAGCTTAGTTTACTTTTCCTTAGCTTAGCTTAGCTTTTCTTAACTTATATTACTTTGTCTTATGTTACCTTATCTTATCTTATCTTATCTTACCTTGTCTTATCTTACCTTATCTTATCTTATCTTATCTTATCTTATCTTATCTTATCTTATCTTATCTTATCTTAGCTAAGCTTAGCTAAGCTTAGCTAAGCTTAGCTAAGCTTAGCTTACATTATCTTATCTTACCTTACCTTATCTTATCTTATCCTAAGAAGAGAAAAGTTTTAAAAAATAAGCAGGCAAGCACCAGTGCCTCTGTCCTATGTACACACTGACTTTGTCCCTGACTTCCCCCAGGATGTGAGCACAAGGGTGAGTGCAAGCCCGTGGGTTCCCAGGTCGAGGAGAACTGTGAGAGGAGCAAGTGCCTGAAAGAACGCGGGCTGGCCAGATGGGTCACCTCCAAATTCCTTCCCTGCAACACTGAAGGCTCTGACTGAAGGGACGCCACACGCACACGGCAAAGTGGAGTCGGTTAATATAACGTGTTAACGATAATAATAAGTTAATAAAAGAAGAAACAAGTGTTCTATTTGCGGTATTCTCAAACCGTTAAATCTCCAAGCATTTTTGAAATAAAGTGGCTCAAACATTGAGCGAGATATTCTTTATGTAGACGTGTGCGAAAGCAAGTTAAACTAACGCATAGGATTTATACTTTTTTTTTCTTTTTTTCTTTTTTTTTTTTTAAGGGGGGGGGGGGGGGGGGGCAATTTAACAGAATGAAGTAGATCATGTCCAAAAATATAAACTTGAAAATGGTGCTTTCTTTATGTTCCTTGTCATCAAATAGACATAAAAAAAAGATTAAAATTGATTGTGCATACTTTTGAAGACCGTACTTATTTCATTTTTCCATTCATACACACTGTTGAATTCTATAGCACACATATAAGTATGTAGGACAATGTGCAGAGCTGTATATCTAACTAAATGCGATTATTAATTATATCCTAGAGCTGTATGCTGTCTGTAATTGCTTTAATGAAATGATCTGCCTGCACAACTTGTTACTGGAAAAGAATAAAGAAATGCCTTTGTTCATGGAATAAAGCTTATAATAATGATATTTGTTCACTCATTTATATCGTCTGTCTCTTTATTTCCTCCTGTACAAGGAGTTGATGCCGGTTGAGTTGAAGGTCTACCTCTGTGGTTCAGGTTTAGTTGAAGGTCTACCTCTGTGGTTCTGGTTTAGTTGAAGGTCTACCTCTGTGGTTCTGGTTTAGTTGAAGGTCTACCGTTATGATTCTGATTAGTTGAGGGTCTATCTCTGAACCGGTCTGACAACTGGGTTAGTTGAAAATGAAATCGTGAAATGGTATGAGTTTAACGCCCCAATCAACACTATTATGCTATTTAAGATGCTGGACCTTCTAATTTAACGTCCGTCTCGGATTGGACCGAGCCAAGTGGGAAGTTCGTGTAAAGTGCCTTTCCCAAGGACACAACGTCGGACCGAGCTGAGGCTCGAACCCCGAACCCGCAATCTCACGATTACGAGTCCGGTAGCTAGGCTACCGACGCCACCTGGGTTAGTTAAAGGTCTACCGCTATGATTCTGGTTTATAAAGACTGCAGGCTGTCATTGATCAAATTACAGATGTTTTGATGGGGGTGGGGTGGGGGATATTTGATATATCTTGTCTGGTCACTTGTTGTTGCTACTGATCACTTGCTGTTACAACTTACATTTCAATCATAATCGTTACCATTGCAAAATTCTTTGATCTTAATTAGACAACACCTAAAAATGAAGCAGACCCCCCCCCACCCACACACCACAATTGTAAACGTCACCGCATTTGGAATATTAAATATCCTCTGCGCTTTCGTTACTGTGGCCATTCCGACGGAACTTACGCTACACTAAAAGTAAAAGTAATATGATATTGCAGTAGACTGTGGTTGACTGGACGTCCCGTACGGTAAATCGCCGTAGCGCGGTGGACCTTTAGATAAACCCGCATCGAGGAGTTATTGTAAGAATAAGGAAAGACAAACATACAACAACACAAAAACGAGACAAAATGACTGCAAGGACTAATAGTAACTGTTGTTTGTTGTTTATTGTTGTTGGTGTTGTTGTTGTTGTTGCTGCTGCTGCTGCTGCTGCTGCTGCTGCTGCTGCTGCTGCTGTTGTTGTTGTAGTTGTTATTGTTTATAAGTGCTGAAACAGTCGTATCAAATCATGAGTAGGAATACTTATGACAATGATTTCTTTTTCAACCACCCTGAAAATATGCAAAGTTTCCAACACCCCTCCCCCTCAAAAAATCCAAAACAAATAACCCCTTCTGAAACGGTGAATATCACTCGACTCCAACATAACACAAGACCGCCATCGCTCTTGTCAACTTGAAAATTTGTCGCTTCTAAGCACAAGGGGACTATCCCGAAAAATGCTGTTTTGAGAAAATCGACGGTAAAGTTTTTGCCCCTTGTTCAGTTTCTTTAAAAGACAAAGGGAGTTTTCTTTATAACCATACAAATATGCACACCAATAAAATCAAATTTCTCCTCTATAGATTGGGCAATGTCCACTCTTGGTGTAGGTCAAGATTTCTGGAAACCCCCGGAATCTGGGGTACCCCGCTCGTCCTTAAAAGTGACCAATTGTGCGATTCAACTTAAGTCTCCCCAGGGGCACAAAAAGATCACCCTGTTCGAAAAAAGTACCCATCCCCCTTTCCCCCTTCCGGTCCCTATTCTAAATATATATAATATTACGAATTCAAAGCGTCTTTTGCGGATGTGGTCACACGGACCCATATGAAGACACTGACAATAGAGATCCCTGGTGTGCATAAATATGAATTAGGTCCCGACTGGGAAGCTCAAGTTTTTGTTTTAGTTTTAGTAGAGGTTTTACGGAGTTCACAACTGCATAAGGTCATATGAGCGCCAAGGGATGGATGTCAACAGAGAAATCCTTACAGGGAATCAGGCTTACTCTGCTCACTTCTCTAGTTTCAACAGCACAAAGCCTGCTTCGACTATCAAGGCACCCTGGGAATAGCGGGTCACAAGAGTATGACACGATAACATACAAATGAAGTAGAGGAAATGACGATAGTAAGGATTAGGGGGGAAAAGCGGCAGTTCCCTATTGCAGTTCAGGCACAGTTATGAGTACAACATTGATGAGTCAACCCATTTACAATTACAATTCTCCTGTGCATAAGAGGATGGTTAACGTCCCCCATTTGAGAATGGCCAAAAATACTTCAGTCAGTAACACTGCCCTTGAGTGGGGGGTGGGGGGGGCTTAAATCTTAAGCTTACCCGTGATTTATAATCTATACTAAAACGTGACGTTAATGGTGTGATTGTGAGGCCAAATTTCCATTCCACTCATTAATCAATTGCACAAGGATAATAATTAATAGGCCTTCATGATCACACAGTCGCTATGACTATTGTTTTTATTACAATATTTCTTTGGCACATAATGAACGGCTCATTTGATTGTGCGTGTATGACAACATATTATTATACAGCTGTCTAGATTCTCTACATAAGAAATAACTTGCTGAATAACATAAAGTGTAGGAAAACACAATACTAGGGCCACTCAAAACGACACGAGACCATTGTGAAAGAGGTGCTTGAAGGAAGGATGTGGCGCCGAAAAGCCAGGAGAAGACAAAGAGTGACTTGGATGGACAACCTAACAACGTACTGTCCTGGATACGGCAGAATGTGCAACGGCAGCTCGCGACCGTGAAGGATGGAGGGTCTTTACATGTCAACCTCAGAGTCCGAGATGTCATCTCCAGGTATCCAACTGTCTATATTTAGGGTGCATTTTAAAGGATCCATTACATTCAGTCTCTGCTACCTCACAAAAGAAAACGTTTTCTACATTACTTTGCCGGGAAAACACAAGAAACAGATTTTTTCATCACACTACACAAAATATATGATCTAACCCCGTTTTTCTATTCCTCTTTCCATCTCTCACCCTTATCCTCCTCCTCATCCTTCTCATCTCCTCCTCCTCCTCCTCTCTTTCTCACCCATTTCCTTCTTGCCTTTTTTCAACAGACTAGAGGGAGAGGTTGATGGTGGATCTCTACATCTGAAACACACTTTTAAATGTCATTAGAAGAATAATATTTTGTAACACATGTATGTTTTAGTTTAACGCAAAATCAGTAACGAGTTTAATTGATAAATAGTATATTATTAAATCATGCTTCTAAAGATGTTTCCATTTTTTCTGTCTCACTTTGTCTCTCCCTTCTCTCTCTCTCTCTCTCTCTCTCTCTCTCTCTCTCTCTCTCTCTCTCTCTCTCTCTCTCTCTCTCTCTCTCTCTCTCTCTCTCTCTCTCTCTCTCTCTCTCTCCAGTACGTACATGCCTGTTTTTCTCCCAAGTCTCTTATTCATCGTACACGCACACACACACACACACACACACACACACACACACACACACACACACACACACACACACACACACACACGAAAACAAAAACAAAAACTTTTACATACACATTAACGACTTTGCTACAAGTAAAGAATTCAACCTTATAGTTTTCTATACCGACTCCTAACGAATACAGTTTGAAATTAAAAACAAGTGAGCCATGAATACTTGTGTATGTAAAACTATTTTGTTTCATAATAAAATGCACCTCTTTCTCTCTCCATTGAACATTCGTAAAGCTGAGTTGAACAACACCTTGAGCTTCCTTGCAAACAAGACCATCCCCCCAATACCCCAAGCCATTTTGAGCGTCATATATTTTGTTTCAATAACAATGAACTAAAAAAGATCTAATTTCTTCTTTTATTTTGTGAGAAACTCAGCGGGTTTTTAACACCAAAAGGCAGTAAAATGTTACACATATTTAAACGGAGAAGATATAAAGAATTCGTTGTGTCTATAAATCTGAACAGGATGATAATTAAATAAGCATGGGCCGCGTGAATCGCTCGTGTGACTAGGACAAAAGAATGAGATGCCACGAGAGAATGCGATGTGCTGGTTAGGTACCTCATTGTTGTTTTCAAAAGATGCCAGTCCGATTACTATAAAACGGATTTTTTAAAAATAATGTGTGGTGGAATTGTGCATCTATACCATCCACACCACGTTGGCCCTGACAAGCAGATTGGAAGCAGTTTACAATCTAATTATTAGCCTAAAAAGTATTGAGTTTGGGGTAAACCAGCTATAATTATAACAATTCACAATGAGGGATTGTTCAAGTAGACAAAAAAACTGTGATCTGACTTAGTACCAGACAGGACACGGGTGTATTTAGGATGGGACCAAACACAAGTGTTCAAAAGACGACTTTGAACGTCCAGAAGGTATCAAAATCAGACTTGACAAGCCAGTTGAAAACACGAATGGTGACAGCTGTTCACATAAAGAGTGTCTATCTGCTGTCTCTTTTCGCCCACCCCCTCCCTACCACCCCCTCCAATCAACTCCCTTATCTACTGTCCTCATCCCCCCTCCTCCCTCTTCTTTTCTCTCCCTCTATTCTGATTGTGGCGTCGGTGGCCTAGTGGTTAGGCTGTCGGACTCGCAACCGTAAGGACGTGGGTTCGAATCCCGTCAGGGGCCCGACGTTGTGTCCTTGGGAAAGGCACTTTACACGAATTTTCCTCACTTCACCCAGGTGGGAATGGGTACCCGGCTATAGACAGCGAAAGATCGTGTCAGTTTGTTAGTGTTTGAGCGCTTA